AATTGTTCCAAATGGGAAACAATCCAAATGTTTATCAAAAGCTGAATTGATAAACAAATTGTTGTATAATCATAAAATGGAATACTACTCAGCAATAAAAAGGAATGAAGTAATGATACATGCAACAGTATAAGTGACTCTCAGAAACAGCATGCTGTACAATTCTATTTATATTAAGTTCTAAAACAGGCAAAATCATCTGTAACATCAGAAAGCATTGGGTTGGCAGGGACTAGAGGTGCAAAGGGACTGGCTGGAAAAGACTGAGGGGAGTTTTGGGACTGATGAATATATTTGATATTTTGATTGGGGTAGTGGTTACCTGAGTGTACATATTTGTCAAAACTCATCAAATTATATACTTAAAATGGTTATATTCCATTGCATGGAAATTATACTTCAATAAAGTTGATAAAAAATATATATATAAAACTTAGGACAGTGGTTACTGCAGGGGTGGGGTGAAAACAGAGATGGGAAAGGAATGGAACACAAAGACAGTTACAAAAGAATTAACTATGTCTTAGCCTTTAGTTAGGTATTAGGTTCACAGACCTTCATTTTGTTATCATTTGTTATATCTTATATATGTTATATGTTTTTTACATACAAGATGTTGTTGTTGTTGTTAGGTCCCATCGAATAGACTCTGACTCATAGCGACCCTATGTATAACAGAACAAAACACTCCCCAGCCCAGCCCTGTGCCAGCCCTACAATCCTTGCTGTACTTGAGCCCATCGTTGCAGCCACTGTATCAATCCATCTTGTTGAGGACCTTCTGCTTTTTAAGATATTACATAGTAAAAATAAATAATAAAATACAAGTTAGTAACAGTTCATGGACTTCAGGGTAAGAAAACTAGTGTTTAGCTCTGAGTGCCAATTAGCTCTGACCCTGTACAAGTCACTTAGCTTACTTGAGTTTCTTAAAATGATTCAGCCTACCTCAAAGTGGTTATTAAGGAACAGATGAAATAATGTACATGAAAATGTTTTGAAAATAATGAACCAAAAATAAAAACAAGCAAACAAACAAAAAACAAACTCACTGCCATTGAGTCAATTCTAACTCATAGCAACCCCTCCTTAGGTTTCTGAGGCGGTATCTCTACGGAAGTAGATTGCCCAGTCTTCCTTCCAAGGAGTGGCTAGTGGGTTTGAACCATCAGCCTTCTGGTTATTTGAAAATTTTAATGAAGGTAACTTAATTAGAAAGCAGAAATACATACTGATAGAATACATAGTGATAGCAAAGTGCTAGATAAATACATAGTAATAGCAGAGAAAGAAACAGAGAAATGAGAGCAGTGAACATATATTGAGTTCTTATCTTGTGCCAAGTACTCTTCTAAATATTTAACATTAAATTACTAATTTAATCCTCATAAGAATCCTATGAGGTAAGTACTATGAGCATCCTTATTTTGGAAGTAAGGAAAAGGAGGCACAGAGAAGTTTTAGGCAACTTGGCTGAAGTCATACAGCTTTAAGTAGTAGAGACTGGGTTCAAGCCACACAAGTTTGTTTCCAGAATTAATGCCTTTAACCACCACAAAAGAAATAAAGCTCCATTGTTTTTAAGTTGATTCCAACTCATAGCGGCCTTATAGAGTAGAACTGCTAGTTACATATAAGTAAGGAGCTTGGGACCAACGGATGCAGAGAGAAATAAAAGGAAAAAGAAAGCCAAGATTCTACATGTTAGACATTATGAAAAATGAGGAAAAAGCAAAAAAAAAAAAAAAGTATTAAATACATATCAGTTAAAGTAATATTTTCTTATTTTCCCTTTTCTCATATTCTTGCATTTCTCTGTATTTGTTTTCTTGTATTTATTCACAGAATAACAAATCTGAGGAGATTAATTCTGGAAATTTTCACATTTCTCTTTAAAACATTTGTTTTATCAGACTTGGTCAAGATTTCTTTCCCATGAATTTAGTCCAGACCCTCTCATAAAATGGTTATCAGTAGAATGTCTGGATTGTTGAAGTTTTTGATAATCTGTGTCACTTACTGAGCCAAAGCATGCTGCATTCAATTAGAAACCAGAAGACCCAGGCGCAAGTTGCAAATCAAAGCACCAAGCAAGTGACTTCAACTCAGTGTCTCAGTTTTCCCATTTGTGCCACATATCTGCCAGCAGAGGCCAAGCTAGTGCTGGGCACCAAACCAGTGCTGCATCTCAAATTCACACAAACAGCCTGTAATAGCACTTCTCAATGTGTTTTAGGGCACTCTGGTGGTATACTGCCTAAGGCATTTGTCTGTTAACCAGAGGGCAGATGGTTCAAACCTACCAGCCACTCCTCGCAAGGAAGACTTGGGTAATCTACTTCTGTAGAGATATTGCCTCAGAAACCTGAGGAGGGGTCACTATGAGTCATAAATGACTCGATGGCAGTGAGTTTGTTTTTCATTGTGCATTAGGCGATTTTTTTTTGTCACTTTTTCTCTTTTTAAGATTGTTATGAAGCTCATTTTACTCTGATTTATGATATCAAAAAGACTCGGGGCGGGGGGAGACAAAGAGAGAAAGGAAGAACACAGTATAGTAGGACTGACTCAAGGCAATATTCCTAACTTGCCTCATCAGAGAAAAAAGCAAACAATGAAGCAAACAAAAATGAACCACTGCCACTGAGTCATAGTAACCCTATAGGATTTGCCCTACAGGGCTTCCAAGACTAAATCTTACAGAAGCAGACTGCTACATCTTTCTCCAGAAGAGTGGCTGGTCAGTTGAACCATCGACCTTTTGGTTAGTAGCCAAGTGCTTTAACCACTGTGGCACTAGGGCTCTTTCCATCAGAAAAAAAAGGGCTAAAAAAGAGTTTTTTTAAAAGTACTTTGTAAAGAATAAAAGGCTACTTAAGTTGAAATCATCATCATCTTATCTCATCAAGAAACTCAGCTGATCACTACAACTAGATGATGCCCAGCTACTGCTGTCAACCACTCGGAAAGGGGTCAGTGCAAGAGGTCCTGGATACAGTGGGAGAACAATGTGGAACAAAACTTCAAATAAAAAACAGACCAGGTTTACTGGTCTGATAGAGCCTGGTGAGACCCCTGAGACTACAGCCCGTAGCTACCCTTCAGGTCTGGAATTGAACTCACTCTGGTGCCTTCTAGCTAAACGTAAGGCATATATGGTGAATATTTACATCAGGTAGATATACTCCTTAGAATGATCAATCACGGGAGAACAGAAGGGCAGTATTTGCATAGGGAGATAGCTCAGAGGGCAGGAATTCAGAGGAAAGAAAGATACAGGGAAGAGGTAACTATAGGAAGGAAGTGGGAAGAGAGCTGTTACATTGTGGGGACTTGTAGTCAATGTCATGAAACAAAATGTGTATGAAGTGCTGTATGGAAAAAGAATAAAATCACCTAAATCTGGTAGCATAGTGGCTAAGGCACTTGACTGCTAACCAGAAGGCTGGCGGTTCAAACCCACCAGCCAATCCTCGGAAGGAAG